ATAGAACTGGTCAAGACCAACAGAAGTTACGGTTCAAAATTTCGATTGGTGAAAAATTGATCGAGTAATAGAATTTACATGTTAAACCAACCAGCCTTTTTGTATGGAAATATATGGAGCCAGGCACATTTTGGCCGAAAAGGAGCATCAAGTATATCTTGGTCTTTGTATCCAGCACTTATCCGTATGAAGGTTTCCATTGTATCCGGATTATTCAGGATGTTTAACCTATTTACCAGATAAAAAACGTAAGTAAAAATAATTTAACGTCAACATTACGGGTTTAACTGAAATAACCGAGGCGTTTAATAGTAAAACGTCTCCTCCTGAGGATGGCCGATCTGTAGTCTTTAGATGAAATGCACCATACGACTTATAACACACAAGGGCTTAAATGAAGGATTATATACTGTGTTGTGTGGAGTAGATGGTGGAGAACGATGTGTGTCGATCGATGGAGAAGTTCCTGCTTTGGGCAAGTCGCTTGATGATTCCATGAACTTTAGTCATCGTAGGTTCGATCCCTGGCATCCCCGGATAATTCCTTGCGGAAATAATCCGGGGAAGCCGGGGATCGAACCGACGACCTTTGAGTTAAGAAACCGAAGCCCTACCTCTGAGCTATTTTCCTCCCCCTTCCCTTAAGCGGGGTTACGGGGGTTAGGGGTAAGACTTTTTGAGAAATAGTTGGTGTGATATGAGTGTTGGTGACTTATTGGTGTTATTAAAGCCAGGGTGTGGTGATATATTTAAACGGAGCTAAGAACATTATACAGGGCGAATGAGGGAATGACCCTCATTGGGGTCATTCCCCAATGAGGGTCGCCCTGTGAGTATCTGGGTTTAAGAACCCGATGCGACAACGGATCGATGGCAAATACTTCATAGTAAATTTTTATATCCGACCGTCCAGTCGAAGGTACGGGTTCGAATCCCTGAGACGACGTCGCTTTCTTACTAGTACTACTATAGTAATACTAATAACACCAGTTAAAATTGTCCATGCCACGTCCAAAAGATCATTTCCCTTTCAACGGTTCAGCAACAGTGCACAATAAGTTCAGTAGTACCTCGGAATAAGAGCATCATCGCACCACTAAATTTGCTCCCACTGCAATCTAGGGTGAGTGATTTGTAGGTATATCCCACTTGTACAGCTGTGTAAAATTGGACTTTATGACCCAGACCTCGAATGTATGTGTATCCTCCCTCGGGCCATCATCATTCCACTGTTGCAATTGGTCGTCCTGACTTGAATAATTCCCTCATTAAAACAGTTCCACTGTTGTTTTGACTCGAAATACTGTTTGAATGAGGTCCCATCCGGATACACCTTTTCGCCAGTAGCCCTGTAACCTGGGACTCCATCCTACCCCCCGGTGAGTACATACGATGGCTAAATCTCCGGGGTTAACATCATCGCTAGTGGTTAGCTATCGCTAACCACTGAGATACACTTCACTCCTAGTAAGAGGTGAGGTGGTCTGAGCATACACAGTTCCATATAAACCTCATTGAAACAAACAACAGTGGAACTGTTTTAATGAGGGAATTATTCTGTGCCTTGGCATGGCAAGACAATAAAGCCGACCGATACCGGTACACTCACTACCACGTGCCTTGACATGGCAAGAAAATGAAGCCGACCGATACACTAGGTACTAAATAGTAAGGGCCTGTCTAGATGCCACCCTAAAAACATCATGATACTACGTAGTACTCCGGAGTATTACAATATTGCGCATTCTGCATTTTCCATACTGGTAATGCAGAGAACAACGTACATATGTATGGAGTATTTCATTTATGAGATATTTCAAGTTGGTGGGGCGCCTGGCTATAGTATGGACCACATCTGATTGGACAAAATCCAGCAAGTTGAAAGGCAGAAAGACGCGAGGAGAAAGTGTACTGTACAGTAAACAAGAGGTAAGTTTCACAAGGTGGCAACTCACCATCCCTTTGGGTCCTGTATCTCCCGTCCTGCGCCCCTCCTGCTTCTGGCACCAGTAGGTTCTCCACCACTGTACAGGCATGCAGGATGTATGGCCTAGCGTACCTGGTTGGGCCCCGAGGTTACCCTTTGTCGACCTCTTTTCGTTTTCTTTCCCTTTTCCACGTGCCTATGACATCCACCTCTTTTCCCTCCTCTTGACAGTCAGAACGACCAATTCCAACGGTGGAATAATGATGACATCTCATTTACCACTTGTCACATATATGTGTCACATCACAAATTTCATCATTTCATTTTACGATTAGTTGTCGCAATTTTGATTACTACACAATATTTTACAGGTAATCTCGACACTGTAAAATGCAGTGAAATTTGAAACTATTTCTTATTACATTATATGTATACTTCAAGTAGTAAATATCGATTACAACTTTGATTACTACACAATTTTCCCATAAGTTCAGGTTGTACTTTCAGGTATATTTTGTCCGACATACAACTCATGTTCACGCCATGTCCGATATGTTCGCCTCATTCGATATATTTCGTCCATACCCTACGTCATTGCAGTATATTCTGGTATATCTTTATTTAAATAACCTATGGAATTGCCATTTTGATTTCTGACTTGAACGGACCACACGATGGGGGACACGCATGTACGACGCCGCAAGACGCGGACGCGGATGGCCAATTTTCGTGAGGTTAAGCTCATTCGAGACAGAGAGTCCAAGAGAATCATAAGGCGGCAATATATTGCCGACTGCAGTGCTCTCAAGGACGAACTGGCCGAGTTGACAGGTCGGTTGCGTGCTCTCCAGAACGCACGAACGTCAGTGTCGTCGCTGCCGTGGCATGAAGTAGCCACGTCCATGAGTGAGGCCATGGAAGAAAGCCTCTCGGAATCCAAACGCCTTCAGGTGCATATGGCGCGCGCTAAGCTCGTGAGCGATCGTTTGGTGCAGTGGATGCAGTCCTCAGTGGCGCTCGACCTGGTCGAATGCGAGAGTGCCAACGACATCCGAAAGTGTGACCTCCCTTGGAAGCAATCCACATAACTGCACGACAAACTCGTGTGGACCATCGGGTTGCAATGGCATGCCAAGAAAATGTACTGGACGAACCACCACCACATTCGCCGGTTCACCAATTTGGCGGGGGACAGCATGCATGTCCACGTGTCCACGCGATGGAGCTTTGTGATCGTTCAAAGGACGATCGATGCGGATATGACAAGGGTAGCGAATGCACTGTGGCAAGCCACGCTGGGATTGAAGGCGCTTACGAAGGTACATACATATATTTGTGCTTTCAGCCAAAAATTGGATATTTGCGCTGATTCACCAAATCCGTCGGTCGATTGTTGTAGTGAATTTTGTATGTAAAATTCGTCAGGCATGCATTAGTTCGATGGTTGCAGGAGTTTGATGAGTCACTGGAAAGTATTTTGGCTTTAGATTGGTCAGTCGATTGTCTTTTGTCGATTTGGTTCTGCTCATTCGATTGAGCCACCGCACTACACATTCAAATCGACCTCATAATACTAGAAGTAATGCTAGTTTACCTCACCTCACTAACGTGGACGCACTTAGACGTTGGCTCGCGTATGCACAGTCGGCTAAGACGTGTGGAAGCTTCGTGCGGAACTGCTTGCACCAGGCTTCCGTAATAATATATTTATTGCGTTATCTAAAATGACACCTTAGCCAGCCAATAGATTTCAGGATACTAGTATTCGAGGTCCAGAAATAGATATTTAACCTAGCGGTATTAACCGGGCGGTTGGATATTTGGTCATACCAGTAGGGGTGGCCGCTGAGATGTATGTTGACTTGTTAATGGGATTCGGAACCTTGCTCCTTTTTAATGTCTAATCAGAATCTATCACACCTTGTTTCTTACACACGATTGGCTATAACACTGACACAGAGGTTACAATTTTGAACTTTGAATTTTGTAGAGCTTTGTGTGATGCTGCTCCAGAGAATTGTGCACTGATGAGTGCACTCCGACTATGTCCAATATGGTTCTCCACTTACA